CCCACGTTCTGCTCTGGGGTTGTATCCACATTGCCATATTGTTTTATTTTATTTTATTTTATTTTATTTTATTTTATTTTATTTTATTTTATTTTATTTTATTTTATTTTAATTTTATCACATCTTAGTTTGAGGAGAGTTTGTGGTTGAAAAAGAATGAGAACAGTTTAATTCGGCTAAGTACTCATATAGTATACCCTGTCTTTCTCTGCTTGTTTCGTGGTTCCATGTGTAAATTGTATTTATCCCATGGAATAGAAGTGAATCCCTATTTCTCTGAAAAGCAAGTTCAGGCTTTTGGCTACTACAGAATGTCATGGAAAATAAGAAACTCATGTGTTAAAACTGTGTAGTCTGATCTCAGTAACTTTCCTCTCCATGCAGGTCTTATTAGATTCAGTTATACATCCAAGTGAACCAAGAGTTGTGCTTTTTCAGCTCTGGAGTTGCCCACCTCGCCCAGAATGGTCATGTCCCAGGAGAGCAGACCAAGGTTCAGTCCCGTGCAGCGCAAGGCACACAGCGCTCGGCGCCTTGATTTTGCTCAGTAAATACCTCATGGGACTGTCCTTTACGGAGCTGACATGTCTGGGGCCCCTAAGCCAGAGCTAGTTTGTGCATCCTCTTGGGCAAGAGTCAGCTGGCACGGTTTGAATCTGCGTGTGCCAAGGCGAGAAGAGTGAGTTCAGTCCTCAGAATAATTCCCCATCTCTGGTGAGGGTTGTTGGGTAGCGGTGGCTGCATTAAGAAGCTGAATGCTTTTTAAGGGAGTTCGTAAGAAAATGCTACTCAAAAAGAGTTTGTTCTTTCCCTTCTGGATCTTAGTACTTTACTTCTTAGTATTAAAGTATTAAAGCTTTGGGGAATTCAAATGGGAAAGAAGAAAGGAGGAATTTTCTCAGACAAAACAGGTACTTGCTGAAGAAAGTTACAGATGGGATCAAAAAAGATTTGTACCCCTGAGATGAATGGCAGCTTTCCATGCTTAGTATAGTTTCTTTGCTAGAGATTAGGGAAGTAATATGTTGTTTGGGAAAAGGCCAAGTTTTGCAATATTCTGGAATTCCTCTGGTAGAGGAAGAGAAGTGCCCACGAAAGTGCTTATCCTGTGAGCTCTGCCTGGGTGCAGCGTCCAGCTGTTCGGCAGAGCACAGCTGCTGCTGCGGCTGGAAAGCCTCCTGCGTCCTCGGGACGAGGGCTGAGGCGCTGCCGGTCCTGGCCAGCAGTTTCAGCTGAGGAAGTGGCCAAGCCGGTCGCGGATTTGTATAACCTTTTGAGGCTCCTTTTGAGCGTGATCCTGAGCTCTCTGTTCTCAGTGTACTTGACTCTTTTGTCAGCATCACCATTTTTTTTTCATACTGGTGTAAATTTGTGAACGAACTTAACTGTGGAGAGGTCAGCTATCTGGTTGGGCTTATTTGATTACTAATTTCTGTAAATCAGAAACAGTGAAGTCTGTTACTCCAAGTGTTCTCTGTATCTGTCGCAATCCCGAGAAAACCAACCCGCTCATCCATCTGTTTGAGGACGCAGGAGTTATCCAGTCCTGCTTTTCAGGAAGGCAGCAGCTCCTCCGGCCACCAGGAATGCGGGAAAGCCGGAGCCTGCAGCTGAGAGTTTCTCCCTGCTAATATCTCCACTTTTGCCTCGGAGACGTGCACACGTTCAGCCAAATTCGACTCTCCCTTATGCTTGTTCAAATCCAGATAAACTCTGAGAGCATTATTTGGGATTTACACAAGTTCCCCTAAGGGGAAAATTTGGTCTAATGGTATTGCAATTGTACATAGGGAACAAAACCCAAAAACCTAAATAGCATTAAGATTAATGTCCGTGGCATTAGTGGAGTCAAAAGAGTTTGTCACATTGATATTTCCCCTTAGAGACCTTGGATTTCTTGACTAAGTGCTTATTTTAGGTTTCAGGAGTTTTGTCCAACGTACAGTTAATCGCAAATCTGTTCCTGTAAATGGGAGGCCTCCCATTAGATATAACCTAGAGTTTAGCGTGCTGTAATTTAGCAATTCGTGCATGTTGGTCTGCATGCCTTTTCCTCACAATTCTTCTGTTTGCACCTATGCAGTCTGACTTTATTCCAGAAGAAAAATCAGGTTTGTATATTATCTGAGGCTATGTATCTTTCTAACTGCAGAGTTGGCCAGGATACTCTTGTTTTCTCCTATGTTACATGTGAGTGCTATAATATAATTCACCATGTTAAAATACTGTGTCATTTGAAATTTTGTATTATAAGTAATTACCCTGTCTTCAGCATCTCCAAGAACTCATTTTAAGCAACAAACCTTGATAGACATGGCAAAAATTTGTTTTAACGAAGAGATTTGAGATGAAGTTATGTTTGCCTGACATCATTCCTAAAAATCTAGATATTTCTCCTGACTTTTATAAAACACATTAGAATACAAGGATTTTAAATCCTTTCAAATTTACTGGCCTTGAAGTTTTCCTGTCTAGTTTAGGAGTTTTTATTCTGTCAACATTAGGGGTCCTTTTTAAGAAGTTTGTTTCATTTTTTTCATCAGAGGAACTCTTCTCTGGCAGAACTTACTCTTCTGTGACCAAGTTTTCCCGGTAGATATTTGGTGACTGATGGAGGAAACAGTGAGGTAGTGTTGAGTCCTACCACATTCTTCCAAGATCTACATTCTGAAATGCAGCTACAGCTTTCAAATTATTTAATTGTGTTTGTGTTTTACTCTGTTGCTAGTGGAAAAAGACAGACATACCTCTCACATAAGGACTTTGTAACAGAGGTATTTCAGGTTCAGTTTTTACAGGAGCCACTCACTAGATAAAAATGTTAACTCTAAGCATAGAGGCTTATTTCAGTTGGGGTTCTGCAAAAACATTCTTGGATGAAGTGTCTCAGACATGCTCTAAACTGGATTTGGAACAAGGAACGTATTTGAAAGGTTCTTTCAGCAATGATGAATAGCTTTTATCTGGTTGGTCTTATTTACACTTATCTGTAATTACTTTCTTGACCTGACCTGGACGTGTTGTTAAAGCTTTTATCTAAGCATGTGAGATGTGATGCTAGAGCAGCAGTTTGCATCTGACAATAGAAT